ATATTCCCTCATAATCATGTGTTTCAAAAAGAGTAGCAGAAGTATGTAGAACAATCTGCTAGTAGTATAACAAGATATGCTTCATAGTAGAACAACCGACCCCTTCAAAAAATACTATACTGCTACAGCGACTTGCCTTTTCATAGCAATAACACGTCATTTGAACACATTGAATGTTGTTGGAAATATAACATTTATTGAATCCAAGGATTGTGTCTTTATAGCTCCGAAACGGATGTGAGGAGGTGTGGTTCACTAGGACAGAAAGCGACTTTTTCGCGTTTCGCAGCGCGAAACATTGTTCGTTGTGGGAATCTCGGGTCCACTATGATTCGCTGGGGTCCACTGATGATCAGCGGTGGACCTGAGGTTCCCGCAGCGAAAAATGTTTCGCGCTGCGAAACGCGAAAAAGTCGCTTTCTGTCCTAGTGAACCACACCCGATGTGAGGTGAGGTGGCAGCGCCTGCCAAATCGCTCTGGTCCCACGCGGTAAAAAATCAAAACGCGCGCTTTCGTCAACGTGTTAATGAACGAAATTCAAAGAGCACATTGGGTGAAAGTCAATGAAGAATTGGTTCCATGGTATCGTGACTTCAGATGGCCCTTAAGTAAAGCCTAATTCCATAAAAATCGTTCAAGTTTGCTCACTTTACTGTGCGGCCAATCAGAAGTCGTTTGATGCCAAAAGCTCGCTCCATCAGAGACTCGCTCTCGAATTCTGCAATCCACCGATCGGAAGCGTTTCCATCCGCATAAAATGTTCGAGTTACCTTGGTCGGTCTAACTCGCTCCGACATCCATCTGAAAGGTAGTTTTAATAATAAAGTACAAACCAATCGACCGCCACCGTTTGGGGATAGGTTCCTCTTGAAAGCTTACAGCTAAGTGAGCACAAGTAGAACCAATACCGGGTGAAACTCGGGTTCGGGAGGGGGGGGGCAGGTCGACGGACTACTTGAACCTGGTCCTTTTATGCCGCCTCACCAGGAAGGTCTTTCAGGGCGTGCCAAGCTTTTTGAAAACGGTCTTTTGCATGATATAGGGGCACATGCGGGAACCACAGAACCATGGTTAATTTTTCCTGAACGGCCCTCTGAATACCAGAAAAAGGGGTCCCTAGTTCGATTCCTCGTGGTGACAAATTTTTGCATTTCGAGTTGACGTTTCAAAATTCGCGCAAAATGGAGTTAGCATGAATAATTAGTACCATATTCATGATTAGGACCGTCAGTAACCCTTACAAATAGACTTTGAAAAAACTGGTGAAAAAAGTGGGGCTGCTTGGTGTCACACCTCTTACACCAATTTTTAAGTCAAAGTCTTTTTGTAAGGGTTACTGACGGTCCTAATCATGAATATGGTACTAATTATTCATGCTAACTCCATTTTGCGCGAATTTTGAAACGTCAACTCGAAATGCAAAAATTTGTCACCACGAGGAATCGAACTAGGGACCCCTTTTCTGGTATTCAGAGGGCCGTTCAGGAAAAATTAACCATGGTTCTGTGGTTCCCGCATGTGCCCCTATATCATGCAAAAGACCGTTTTCAAAAAGCTTGGCACGCCCTGAAAGACCTTCCTGGTCAGAATTAACTTTCGTCTGCGCTCTCTCACCTTATCAGCGGCTCATGACCATCACCGACGGCGCGTATTTTGAAACTGCCACATAATTACGACAGAGTAACTGTCCCTGTGGACTAAGCCAGACGAACAGAGCGCCGCGCCATCGCGTGTCCTCCCTCCCTCCCCCTACCTCCGAACCCGAGTTTCGCCCCAATACCGCAAAACAGTGGACACACAAAGACGTTTCTAACCCCATAAAGCAGAAATCCTTCTTAAATGAAATGGAAAAGAAAAATTGAAGCATGACCAGCTAACCCAATGAGCTCTTGCTCTGTGCATCGGAATGGAACGTTCGTTAACTGCAGGCACCATCGGGTCGAACCCGTGGTCTGCCGTGATCGCTTTGGAGCTGAACGGCTTCGTGAGCGGCGAGCCGCACGACGTTCGCGACTTCGGGTACGTGATCTTAAAAAAGAACTGGGGTAAAGGAATGAATCTTAAAAATGAAACAAGCAATATTAAAAATACAAAACACAATTTAGCACCTTTGCCTTTTACGCGGTGATGTATCGCGCTTGCCGCGCCGCCTGTCACGACTGCGCGAACGCGACCGACGTCGCGTATGTTCCAAGTCGCGTTTGTTATCGACATTTTCCGCAACTGCTTCCGAAGCCTGTAATGGTAGTCTCGTAATACAATAAAGATTAAAAGCACTAAAACAATAGGTGTTACATTGAGCACTGCCGGAGGAAGTCCGTCTACTGCGTCTTCAAATATGGCCTTCGTTGATGGTCGAACACTGGAATAAGTAATTTAATAATGCTATCCCTGCAAGAATATTTACTTCATCGAGACCAAAAACAGACACACCACAATACTTAAAGCAACAGTCCCAGTGTTTTTACCTTCGACACTAATGGTGTGGAACGATGCGCTAGCCCTAGTCAAGAACATAAGAAGTGTGACTGAACAAAAAACTCACCTTGGAAAGCCGCTAGAAAGGGAGCTGAACGGCTTCGAAGTGGGCGTGGTTGGAAGTCGGCCGAGGGGATTGCAGCCGACTGAGCAACCACGCCCACTTCATCCTGTTCAGCTCTCTCTTAACTAGGGCCAGCGCATAGTTCCACGCCATTATTGTCGAAGTTGAAAACCCTGCTGGGACTGTTGCTAAAACCCTAAATCCCTTACCGAATGCCCAACTCTCCATCCCTATCAAGCACAGCATCAGCATCAGCTGGGTTGTCAAATCTAACCAGCGTATTCATGTGAATGCCTTAAAAATTTCAGTATTGTATGATCCGGTTCATCCTTGGAACATGCATATGAATCACTATCACCTTGACTGCTGTACACAACTTTCACAGAGGAAACCTGCAGAGGAATAGATGGCCTAAGAAATTGTTCCAGAACAGCAGGACGCAGCATTTCTGTCGGTAGACGACTCAATTCAACATACTTTGGGTTACTGAAACAAAGATATTTTATGCTGACAACGAAAAAGACTTATACAACGGACGTCTACTTACGTTGGTGTCGGCCTCGTCGCATTGGGCCCACTACCGAAGTTTGGACCTA